AGGGATGGGGGCTAGTGTCTCCCTCGTGGGGGACAGTGCCGGGGAGAAAGTTGTAGGGATGGACCGTGGTGGTGGCCGCCCCCAGAGAGGACGTGCTTGATGCCGCTGAAGCGTGTGCTTCGAGCCGGTGAGGACGGGGATGGCAATGCTGTGTGTGTTTTATAATAATAATGATAACGACAGTAATCATGATAAGACATAAAGCGTTGAGTCCTGCGTCCTGGGCAGCTAGGAAGTGCTGCAGGTTCCCCTCTCCAGCCCCGAGCCTGGGGGACCTCCCCCTCTCCCCTTTGCATGGTCCCGCAGGGCACTGAGGGGGAAGATGCAGTGGCCTGCCGTTTGCCGGCAGAGGGAGCCAAGCACCCATGCACCCGCCCGCTGCTGCAGCCTCGCAGGTCAGGGCTTTGAGGGGAACCTCCCAGAATTAGCAAGACTGCTGGACCTCAGCCCCTTCCACGCTGATGCACACACAGTGGGACGGTTCTCCGACTGGGCTGCCAGGTCACTCGCAGGGGAGCAAGACCACTCAGGATCACCCTCGAAGGCCCGGCTGTCTCTGCAGGGCCTGGGGCCACGGGGAGCCTCGGGGAAGGCACTTGTCTTACCCAGGGGACTCATACTCACCCGTGCCTGTCCCTTCCCCAGAGGACCTGCCGCGGGTCCAGGAGCCTGGAGAGACCCCTCCTTTGTGAGGACACATGCTCAGTCTTCCACCTGGGAAGAGCAAAAAGAGGGGACAGGACTTTCAGGGTTCCGTCTGCAGGCCTGCTGGAGGAGGGGGGGACTGATGGCCTCGCTCTCCTGTTGTAGAAGGTGCCTGCTCCGGGCCACAGGGCAGTAGGGGAGACACACGGGGCTGTCAGGAAGGAGAGCTTCTCTTGGCCCCAGCCGTCCTGGTGCTCCCCACCTCCACCCCCTCCCCCTGTGCCGTGTGTGTCAGCATGGAGTGGCCCCCTTAGCCTCAGTCCTCACCCTTAATCTGGGAATGAGGCGGGGCAGTGATCTTCTGCAGCTTCAAGATTTTATTTATTTATTTGTCAGAGAGAGAGCGCGCGCGAGAGAGCGCGAGAGCGCTTGCAGGGAAAGGAAGAGAGGGAGAGGGAGAAGCAGACTCCCCGCCGGGCAGAGAGCCCATCCCAGGACCCAGAGATCATGACCTGAGCCCTGCCACGTGGGGAAGCGGCCCGGCGGGGGGACTCTAATGGAGAGGCAGACACCATCTCATGCCTGAGATTCTCTTCAGCCTCTTGGAGGAGGAGAAACCCATCATTTCTAGGGGAGTTGTGGGAGCTTGGGGTAGATTCCTATAAAACCTGATCGGGTTGGGGCTGCCTGGGTGGCTCAGTGGGTTAAGCCTCTGCCTTCGGCTCAGGTCATGATCTCAGGGTCCTGGGATCGAGCCCCGCATTGGGCTCTCTGCTGGGCAGGGAGCCTGCTTCCTCCTCCCTCTCTCTGTCTCTCTGCCTGCCTCTCTGCCTACTTGTGATCTCTCTCTGTCCAATAAAATCTTAAAAAAAAAAAAAAAGCACCTGATCAGGCTGTTCTCAAGAGGGTCTGGGCTGAGCTGAGGGCAGCTGGGTAGGTGAGAAACTCAAGTGACCATGACATTCTCTTTCTTGGGGGCTGGACTGCTTTCCTGGCTTGGACCCCTGGACAGGGCAGGAATCCCAGGGACCTGGGGAGGGCTGGCTGGGTGCAGGAACACCATGTTCTGGAGTAGAGATGGCCAAGAGCTAGAGCAAAGCCCCCCTCTGGTGCCCACTGACCGCCTGGCTGAGCCGTGCACTGCATGGGGCCAGGCTGCCAACCCGAGGTACAGGAGAGCAGGGGAACAGCAGGGGCGTCCATGGGGGAGGGTATCCCCAGCGAGCGGGCCGCAGGGGAGTCGAAGAGGTCTGGTCACTCAGCAGAAGCAAGTCTCAGTGCCTCTGTGAAGGGGCAGGCGGAGGAGGAGGCCTGGGGCTCCAGCTGGCCCACGGGCAGGTGCGGGTCCTCTCTATGGGGAGCAGACAGCCCTGGGAAAGAGTGTTTGGCTCTTTTTTTTTTTTTTTAAGATTTTATTTATTTATTTGACAGACAGAGATCACAAGTAGGCAGAGAGGCAGGCAGAGGGAGAGAGGGGGAAGCAGGCTCCCCGCTGAGCAGAGAGCCCGATGTGGGGCTCGATCCCAGGACCCCGGGACCATGACCTGAGCCAAAGGCAGAGGCTTAACCCACCGAGCCACCCAGGCGCCCTGTGTTTGGCTCTTCTAGGGTGGCAGCTTGTGAGCTCAGGGAAGGAACCAGACGTCAGGGCCGCCCCCGCCCTGGGCCCGATCTGTCCTCTCCGCCCTGAGTCCTGAGGGCTGTGGCTGGCCTGCGGGGCCTCCCTGGGATCCCACGCCAGCTTGGCTGGAGGAGCTGGAGGGAGGGATCCAGGCTACTGTCGGAGAGACTGCTTGTGGTTTCACCATGCGTCATCCTCAGGGAGCCCCGAGTTAGCCAGCACCCCCTGTCATGAGCATGGACCCTAACCCACCCCGTGCGGTGTGTCCCCTCCCCCCTTCCCCTCTCAAGCTCATCCCTCCACCGGGACAGCGTCTCTGTTGGCCCTGGGCACGCCGCACCTGTGTACCCACAGCTTACACCGCGAACACGCACCAGTTCTCACTAGCCTGAGTGCCTGGCTCCGCCGGGAGGCTGTCCTGCTCAAGGTGGGTTCAGACCGCCCAGGTGCCCACCAGCCTGGACGTCTTAGTGGCTGGAACGCGGTGGACACTCATCCCACGGTCGCCCACAGGGCTGCTCCTTGTCTAGGACGAAGCTGCTCCGCCCAGCCTGGAGCGAGAGCTGCTGATCTCGTCTGTCCCAGCATTGCAGTTCCCCGCACGGCCGTTCTGCCACGACCCAGGGGTCCCCGCAAACACTGATGCCAGCCTGGATCTGGGCAGGGTGGAGGCCGTCTCCGACGACTGGAGAGGAGACGAGCGGCAAGCTTGCGGCAGGGGAGGTAGCTGTGTACGGGGGGTGGGGAGGGGTCCATGTGCCCAGCCGGTGCCAGGACAGGAAGGAGTCAGGAGCAGCGGGAAGGGCAAGGACTTGTCCTCACCCCTTCTCTAGAGCTGTGTGAGCCCCTGCACCAGCAAGCTCTTGCTCCGTGTCCGGCCCCAGCGCAGGAGGAGCTCACAGGGACTCCCTCTAGCGGGGAGAAGGGGCGGTCCATGAAGCCCCAGGAGCTCCTGGGCCTGCGGGGCTGACCCGACCTCAGAATGCGGAAGGGGAGGGCATTCTTGGTGGGGGAGCAGCTTCAGCCAGGTCCAAGGTGGAGTGTACAAGGCCCTCGGGCTCTCAGGCCGTTATCGCCGCAGCCCTGCCTAGTCAGGCTGTTCATTGCCAAGGACTGCCCAAGGAGCCACAGCCCCCAGGCTAGCACAGGCTCCTGGCTGCTGTCTGACCAGTCCCTCTGTGTGGGAGTAAGGGGGTCTTGGGAGTCTGGCCAAGCCCCTCCCGTGAGTGCCGTGGGCACTGGTGAGTCTGCACTCTCTAGGGATGCTGGTGGGCGCCCGCACTGTGTTCCTGCGTTGTCTGGGTTGGCACAGGCCATTCGAGAGGGGGTGGCTGGCATGGAGCTGAGCTGAGCCCGTGCGTGGCCCCTCTGCGTGAGCCGAAGGCTTGGGCTGCTCCTGTGCCTGCCCACCCCACCACCTCCGGAGGAAGGCAGGCAGGAAGGGGCTGATCAATTTCAATTAGCTTTAAGTCTCTGTTGAGATAATTCTGGCTTCTTCCAGAAAAGGCACAGAAAGCTTCGATTCCTTACTAATGCGGGAAGGGTCAGATCAGCTCATGCGGCCAGCAGTGGTGGTGACTGCCACCATCACCTGGATTTCGGGGTGACCCCATGGGCTGTTACTACCCCCTACCTCTGCCACTTAGAGAGGCCGAAGGCTTGTTGAGGCAGGGAGCCCACCTTCTCCTACCTCTGGGCTGGGCACAGGCAGAGAGCAATTCCGGGGGGTGAGGTGGGGTGGGGGGAGCCCCGCCCTCCAGGCTTGGCTCTGTGAGCCCTCAGATCAGTATGTGCTCCCAAGGCCGGACTGTGGGTACCGAGGACACAGGGTTCCTCCTTCCAAGGGGCTCAGGAATGGCTATGTGACCAGCGGTCCGCTGGGACCAGGATCCACACTAGGGGCTGAAGGTGATGGAGGTGTCCAAACCCGGGGAACTGATCTATCCGCGTCTCTCCCTCCCCCACTTCAGGCCCGTTGCGGTCAGGTCTTCCCGGTTCGCAGTCACTCTCCTGGCCCCGATTTTGTCCTTTGAGGTTTCCCAGAGGTCACAGGGCAGGGACCAGGGCCTGAGGACTGGGGCTTCCAGGCATGGGTAGTGGTGTGCGCGCGCGCGCGCGCACCAGGGTGCCGTACCTGCTCAGGCCCCCATCCCCTTCGGGTGCAGAGGGATACAGAGGCACAGAGAAGTATCTTGGAGGGCCTGGGGGCAATAGGGACTCGGGGATCAGCTGCTTCACTCTGGTGGCCCCTCCCTGCTCCACCCCTCCGCGGCCCCACTTCTCCTCAGGCTGGTGCCGCCCCCGCACACCCTCCCGTCCGGTCTCTCCGGGGCTCGGAGCCGCACAGCACTCCCGCCCCAGACACCTTCCCAGCCCTCGGCCGCCCGCTTCCCGCCTCCTGGCACACTCCCGCACGCGCACCCACTTCTTCCCGCTCCCTAGGCCGCTCCTCCCCCCCAGCCCGCCCCCGTCCTGCCAACCGCGCGCTCGCCGCGGGCAGTACCCCGGAACTGGAGGGCCGGGGCTCGCACCGGGGGTGGGGGGCTTGTCTTGAGGGTGTGAGCTCGGGCTAGGGGGCGAGTCCTGGGGGAGGTGGGACGCTTCCCGGGAGGGCGCGTCCCGGGCAGGCGCGCGCTCTGGAAGCAGGAGTGTCCCCTGTGGGTGGGCGCGTCCCCGAGGGGGAGGGCGCTGTCTAGGGGCGGGCTCTCCGCCGCCCCACCCTCGGCCGCGTCCCCCGGCGCCCCCCGCGCACCCAGCCTGGACGGAGCCGACCGCGCGCCGCAGCCATCCCGCCATGGAGACGCGAGAGCGGCGGCGCCCGCAGTTTCGGCTGCTGCTGCTGCTGCTCCTGCTCTGCGGTAAGGGCCGCGGGGTCTCGTGCTGGGGCGCCCCGACTTCCTCCGGGGCCGCGGGGACCCGCGCGGGCTTCGACCTCCCGCGCCCGCGCCGGGCCGTGCCTCCTGTGCTGCACGGATCCCGGCCTGCCCGGCGCGCGCGGCTCCGGAGCGGCGAGGCTTGACCCCGGCGCCGTCCCCAGCCTCCGCGGGAGGGTCCTGTGCACCGTCCCCGGAGGAGCCGAAGGCGACGGACCGGGTCTGGGAAGGGAGGCGCGGGGTCTCGTACAGGATCTGCCCGGCCAGCGGGCGGGGGCCGCGCCGGATCCTCGCAGCCGCGATGTCTCGGGTCTCGCTGCCAGGAGGCTGGGGATGGCCTGCCAGCGCGACACCCCGAGCAAGCAGAGGCGGCGCAGGTCCGGCTTCCAGTTCCCTGTTAGGTAGTGAGCTCCCTGTCCTGGAGCTCTTGCGCACCCCACGCTCAGGGCTTGGGTGGGAGGAATCCAGACCCCATGGAGGGCTGGTCCTTTCCACTTGTCCTTGTCCTCCGAGGACAGCCCTTCCGTGTGTGTGCGCGCGTGTTCCCCGGGGCTTGCAGGACCCGGAAGGCGCCGGATCCTTGAGGCCTCGCTCCCAGGCCCCTCCTCCAGCAAGAAAGCGGGGCTCTAGAGGATACCTTGTTTGTGAATTGGGAATGGGTCGAATAAAAAGCTTGTTTTGAAAAATTTTACTAAAGAGATGATCCAAGATCAAGTAAGAGAGCATGTGTGTGTTTGAGGAGGGCTTCCCCTGGAGAGGCTGGGTGGGCAGCCTGCTGAGGGGAGCTGGGGAGCCCTGGCCTGGGGGTCGGGTGCTCAGGGCCTCTGGGAGGGGTCACTATCCCTGGGTCCTGTGGGAGGCCAGCCTTGCCCTCGCTGGCCCATGTCCCGGGCTATAAGAGGCAAAGTTGACCTTGTTTGAAACTGTGGTTGGCTTTGCTGGTTTGGAACCCGCCAGGAGGAGGGAAGAGGCTTTCCCGCTTTCTGGGCCACCCTTCCCCTGGAGATGTCTGGGTGGAGAAAGTGGGGCTTCGTCTCACCATCCAGGATCAGAGCCTAGGGGGAGGTGGATTTTTGTGTTGAAGGGAAGGGTGTGTGATGGCTTCCGGACATCGGGAGCACGCCGACATGGGCTTTCAGTAAACCTCCCGTGCGAGGCCCCTGGAATGGAGATTGGGTGCCTCAAGGGAAGGGAGCTCTTAGCCTCATTCCCAGGATGACTGGGGCTCCCCTGGCCTGCCTCCAGCATGGGACTGTGAAGGACCAGAGGCAGACCAGAGGCATCTGGTCCTCCCTCGGTGGCTCCACGGTCTCCCTCACGCAGGTGGGGCGCTCTGGCCCGGGTGGGGCACCAGCCGGTGCTGGTCCTGTCAGAGGGAGGGCCTTGGGAAGGGGCTGCTGGCTGAGTGGGACGCAGGGAGAGGCAACACCTGCTCATGGTCCCACGCCACGTGTCACCGGTGGGGCCGAGCTCTGGAGGTGGCTGCTGACAGAGGCTCCTTGAGGCCTGACTGTGGAGGGCCCGGCAAGGAAGGTGAATTCAGGTTTCTTGGGGTGGATTCCAGACCTCCATTTGGAGGCACCCGCCACCACGCAGGACCTCGGGGTGCTGAGCTCACCTGTTCTCACCCCGACTGTTCATACTCCAGCTGGGCCTGGTGACACAGGTGGTTGGCCGAGAGGGGCCTCGAAGGTCTTCTGACCCTGCTCCTCGTTTTACAGATAAGAAACCGAGGTCCAGGGTGGGAGGACTCTGCCCAGACTCAGGGGCAGGGGCAGAACCTTCCAGAAACCATGGCGCGCCGCTCAGAGCCTAGTGCCCGGTGTGGCTCTCATTTCCATCTGGGGAAGGATGAGAGGCTCCTGTATTTCATTTCCAAATGCCCCTGTAAGAGGCCTTTCTCTGGGAAATGCTTCTGTTTGGTTGTTTATCATCTCCTGGAGTCTGGAAGTCCCCGAGACAAAAGGAGCCCAGCGCTACATTTTCTTCGTTTCCCTGGTGGAGCCAACGGAGTTGTGTGTGTCAGCTTCATTCCCGAGACCTTCCTGATGCAGTCTGTGGCAGCCGCCCGCTCTCTTGGTGTTGTCAGGAATCTGCGTCTTTACCTGCTGTTCTAACGCTGGCTGGGGCGTGGGCTTTTGCTGGGAGCGCTCGAGCGGGGAGTGCGGCAGAGATGGTGCTAGAATGCCTCTCCCCCGCCCCCCATCCAGGACACTTCTGGCTTGTCCCACAGGGCCTGCGTTGTGCGGACCCAGAGGCGGTACTGGCCTAGCGGCACCCCCTCCTCACGGCACCCCCCCACCCCCGCCCCACAGTCCTTGACGGCTCATTTTCCACCAGTCCTGGCCAGGCTCCTGCCGCACTGGCACTGCCAGTGGAGACTCTGGTCCAGGAAGGAGGAGGAGGGGCGAGAAGAGAGAGGGTCCGCGGGAGAGGGAGGAGAACGAGAGGAAGGAAGCGCTGTGCTGGCTCTTAGGGGGCTGACAGCAGGTGGTTCGGGCGCGCTGCGGGGCTCCTGGGGGTCCAGGTCCAGGGGCTGCCAATCCAGGGGTCCAGAGGGTCCAGATGTGCAGGTCCAGGTGTCAGATCAGGTAGACGGTCTAGGCGAAGGTGGGTTTTCACTGGAAGGTGTGGTGGCAGCCAGGAGGAGGGGACAGTGTGGGATTTGTGTGGCTTACGCCCTTGTGGGAGGTGGGTGGAGCTCAGGAGACTCAGATGGGACACTGTGATGACCCCATCAGGGCAAGGCCAGGCCCGGAGATGGGACTGAGGGCTGGGTGTGGAGAATACTGGTGGACCTCTAGCACCTATGGTGGGGGGCCCGTTGGGGAGCTGCAGAGAGAGGTGCCTTCGGAATAGGGCAGTGATGGGAGAAAGGAACACGGGCTGGCTTCGTCTTCATCCCCCCTGCCCTCATGTGGCTCCCAAGGGCCTGCACTCCCGAGTCATTGGCACCATGTCCTTGTGGCCCTGGACCCAGGGCCGCCTTCCTGCCAGCAGCTGGGCAGTGCATCTGGGCAGGGTGGTGGGGCGAGGTGGGGCCATGGCACACCCTGGTTCACTTGACTCTGCATTTGCCTGTGGGAAAGTCGCTTTTACCCTGGGCATTTAAACTGGGGGGATGGGAGCAGGGACGCTGTTCCTCAGGCAACCTAAGGATGGGATTGACATGAGGGTGTCGGCTCAGGCCAGTATGACAGGCCACCGGGAGGGGGCATCTCTGCAGGTAAGGTGGCTTTGGCTTGACCCCCCCGCCCTGCTGTGTTACTGAGCAGGTGGATGACCTTCCCTTTGGGGTGACCCTGTCTTTTTAAGTGCCTCCACGAGCGAGAGCTCTTCTGTGGACATTGGTCTCTGTGGAGGAGATGGCCGGGCTCCTGTTGAAGGAGCATCAGTTTGAGTCTTGACCGCTGGCAGCCTGGACCCACGAGTGAGGCCCCGAGACTGGGTTCAGCAGGAGCGCCCGGGGGTTGGAAAGAGCCCTGGGAGGCCTGCTCAGTCTGGCTCGGGGTCCACCTTTCCAACCTCACTGCTGCCCCTTCACTCCTAACACCCGTGGGTGCCCCCCTCCCCACCTAAGCAAAGGCAGTCTGGCTCTCTAGCCTCCTGTCCGTGCCGGCGCTTCCTCACGGTTCATTTCTGTAATCTCACTGATATTTCTGTCTACTCGTTTGTCCTGTAAATTACGGAGAGGGGGTGTGGAATCCGCAGCTGTTACTGTGGATTTGTCATTTGTTCTTTGTGATTCTACCCACTTTTGCCTCCTGTGTTTTGATGCCCTGTTATCAGGGGCGTACATGTTTAGCACAGTTACGTCTTCTTGGTGCACTGACCTGTTGGTCACTGTGAAAGACCCCCTCATCTCTGGTGATGTCCTTTCCCTGAAGCACTTGCGGCCGGTGTGCACACAGCCGTGCCACCTGTCTGGAGCAGCAGCAGCGCGGCACATCTTTCCCACCCTCGTACTTGGAATGTGTTTCAGTTCTTCTGTTTAAAGCAGGTTCTTGTGAACAGCCTGTGGCTGGGGCTTGTCTTTGCATGTCAGCTAACAACTTTGCTGCTTCTTCTTCTTCTTCTTTTTTTTTTTAAAGATTTTATTTATTTATTTGACAGATCACAAGCAGGCAGAGAGACGGGCACAGAGAGAAGGGGAAGCAGGCTTGCCGCTGAGCAGAGAGCCTGATGTGGGGCTTGATCCTAGGACCCTGGGATCATGACCTGAGCCGAAGGCAGAGGCTTAACCCACTGAGCCACCCAGGTGCCCCAACAACTTTGCTTCTTAACTGGGGTGTTTAAATCTATTTTTTTAAAGATTGTGTTTTTGAGTACTCTCTTTGCCCACTGTGGGGCTCGAACGCCGAGGTCAAGAGTCACGCGTTCCGCTGACTGAGCTGGCCAGGGCCCCTCAATCTGACCGTTGGCGTGGGTTGGCTTATGTCTCCCATCGTGTCATCAGAACTTTTTCCCTTCTCTTTTTTGGTCTTTTTTTGGACTTATATTTTTTTAAACTCCTCGCGTCTTTGCCCTCTTCATTCTTGTCTCCCTTTTGTTCCCAGAAGCGTCCTTAGGGTCACAGGGCCACCTCCTGTGGGGTGCAAGCCCCTCCCTGAGCTGGGCACAGGCCTCCCCACAGGGCACTCGGTGGTCCGCCCTGGGGACAACCCGGCCTGCGGTGTAGGATCTCAGCAGGTCAGAACCCGCCATTTGTTGTTGACGGGCATTTCTCCTGTACGTTTGCGGCTCAGACTGAAATTTCTGCTGCTGCCCTCAGGAACTGATCATTCGTTCATTCATTCATTCTCTTGAAAAGTCTTTTCGGAATACCAACGAGGTGCTGATGGTTCGGGGAGCGAGGGAGCAGCAGACCCACATCAAACACCGACAGTAACGACGTCGGAAAGATAGGAGCCTCTGTGGGCACATGACTGATGCCCGTCCCTACGGCCCCTTGTGAGTGAAGCAGGACCCATTTCCCTTAGTTTACAGATGGGGAGACTGAGGTCAGCTGGTGACCAGTGATGCTGGGTGTGAGCCTGGGTCGGCCCAGTTCTGGATGTGGGCCTCTCTCTTGTTTCCTTCTCTGTGGTTTGTTCTGCGACACAACACTCTGCCAGGACACACACAGATGTGTATGCACATGTACACATACACACGCACGCATGCATGCACACACATCTACACAGCAGGGCTGTGTGCACACACGTACACGTGTGAACACACACATATGCACGCACATACCAGGACACACACCACAGGGCTTTCTTTTAATTGTGTGGTGGGAGCCAAAGCAGGGGCCGTGAGAAGGAAGATTAAGAGGGGTGTCTGGGGGGGAAGGGTGGGCCTGTCCTGAAGGTGGGTGCTGCTCAGGGGGCAGATGAGCTGGGGGAAGGAGGAGGTGGACGGATGGCGGTGTTGGGAGCAGAGGTGGAGGGAGGGGGGCTGCTGGGATTCCTGAGGGGAAACCCCCCCAGACCCGGGAGTGACCTGGCCCTGCTTCTGGAACACGAGTCCCTGCGTCTCGTCAGCCCCGGGCCTCCTGGAATGGAGGGGCGGCCCCGACAGGCAGTGTTTTCCCCTGCGGGGGCCTCCGCTGGGGCCCCCGTGGTCCTAGATGGTCTGCAGACTCTCAGGACCTTCTGGGGGTGTGCTCCGGGCACCCGCGCCGCTCGCGCTGCTGTCCCTGACCCCGTCCTTGGGGTGGGACTCGCTGCCCACCCCCACTGCACGTTGAAGCCCACCTGCTCTCGGCTTTCCTGACCCCCAGGACACGCATCTCTGCCTGCTGCGCTCCCTCACCTTCCCCCTCCCACGCCATGTCGGGAGATCCCTGCTCTCCGGGTCCCATAGAGGCGCAGCCACGTGCGTCTCCTTTAAGGCAGAGGCTTCACCTCCCTGGCCCACGGCGGGGGCGGCGCGAGGGCCCCCAGCTGCCTGTGGGGGGGACGTCAGCAGGAGGCTCGAGGGTCACTTTGCAAACCACGGTGTCACGCCTGTGGCTGTCCCCTCTCCAGGTGGGTGTCCCCCGGTGGGTGGCTGCAACGAGACACGTATGCTGGAGAAGCTGCCGCTCTGCGGGAAGGCCTTCGCCGACGTGATGCGCACGCTGGACACGTGGAAGCGCTGCAACCTGTCCGAGTTCATCGTGTGAGCGCCGCCGCCCTGCCCACCCCGCCGCACCTGACCTCACCGCCCTCCCCACCGCACCTGACCTCCCTGCTCACCCCCGCCGCACCTGACCTCCCTGCTCACCCCCGCCGCACCTGACCTCCCCTGCCCTCCCTGCCCATTCCCGGCAGATGCAGAAGTTTCACTGTTTCGTTCAGGAACAGTCCCCCACAGCAGCTGTGTCCGGTCCACGCAGGGGTCGTGGGTGTGGACCACACCCCCAGACCCACTGTTGGCTGGGGGTACTGGGCACGGAAGCCCCTAGAATGCATTGGGAATGGGGAGCCCGGGGGCCTGGGTTTGGGAGTCCCTGAGGCTTGTTCTCTGGGCCGTCTGAATGGAGGGTCTGCACTTTCTCATACCCACGAGCGTGGCCCGGGCCGCAGAGCCGGGAGCCTGGGGACAGCGGCTGGCACCCAGTTGCCCCTTCCACTGCACCCAGGGAGGGACCCCTTGGGTGAGCCATCCTTACTGAGGTGTGGGGCCTCTGGGGCCACTGGGGCCCCCTCGGGGGGGCCAGCAGAGCCTGGGAAGTTCCAGGCGACCCCTTCCCCAGACCTGCATCCCTGCCAGCCCTGACCCCACCTAGTCGTGAGCGTCCAGGTGGAACTGGGATGTTACATAAAGGGCTCTGGCGGGACAGCAGGGCGGGGACCAGCATCTGGAGATCTCCGTGCAGCGAGAGGGGGACCCCAGGGCCATATCAGTGCCTCAGAGGCATCGTGAGGCAGAGAAGAAGCCTGGCAGGTGCAGAGAGAGTCCTGGGTGGTGGAACAGGGAGCGGAAGACGAGGGCAGGAAGGCTGAGCTGCGAGTCCGCCCACAGGCCAGGTGACCTGGGGGCAGGAGTTCTAGAAGGTGGGCAGGGAGACGCAGGGAGAAACTCAGGGCCATTTCCAGGTGAGGGCTCAGGTTTAGATCCCGAGAGCTCGCCTGGTGCCCGGCACCAAGTCCCCGGACAACAGCACGGCCACGAAGGGGCAGAGGCATGTGTGCAGAGGGACAACAGTGGGCTAGACACACGTGAGGACTCGGGGCCTCACACGCCCCACGCAGCCCTGGAAACCAGGAGGGGGTGGGGGCTGGGGCTTCAGATTTCTGGAATGCTTTTCCCACAAATCTGTCATCATGGAAACAGCGTCAGACACGCAGAGCTCCCGCCTCATGTTTCTCTGGCGCCCTTTCTTGGGGTGCAGGGGTGGTACCACTCCCCGCCCCCCAGATAGTGAGCAAACCACGGAAGAGGATGAAGTGAGAGGCGGAGGGCAGAGACAGAGCGTGAGAGCGGGTGGGCAGGCGTGGCAGCCGCGGGTGGGCCGAGGGGTCCCAGGGGCAGTGAGCACCAGAGGGGCCTTGTCCCCACAGTGATCCGTTTCTGAGGTCACTGCCCTTGTCCTCATCCCACGGCCAGCTTGCTGAGGACGGAGACCCCCCTCCTCCCATTAAGGGGTGGCTGCTAGCGAGGTTTCCAAGTGCTGTGCTTTATTGCCTACGAGCAACAACACAGGAAGCGAATCTTGAAGAAATCAAGGAGCTGAGTTAGAAAAGTGGCTGCCCTGTGGGAGAGGGCACCTGACCGGGGGCTTCTGGGCTGCGTAGCCCCCGGCCATCGGGGCTAGAGCTGCATTTCTTTAACTGTGTGTGCAGTGCCCCAGGAGCTGGAGGGAGGGTGCTCCAGGGGCCACACTCAAGGGGGACACAGGAAGGCCCCCGCTCACTAGGGGATGCTGGGGAGAACAGTGTCTTGTGACCTGGGTTCCCCGATGTCACGCATACAGTGCCTTCCTCGTGAAGAACCCCTCGGTTGTGTCTCCAGCCCGAGCTGGGGCTGGTGAGTTTGCAGGGCGTGGGGCTGTGTGCTGTGAGCCTAGCCCTCGGCAGGCTACTGGGGAGTGGTGGCCTTTGCAACCTTTGTCGGCCCAGCTGGCCCCCAGTATTCTCCAGAAGCACCTGGCCTAGGCACTCAGCATGCACCTCCGTGAGCCGATGCCCGGAGACAGGTGCTGTGCTCAGCGCCGTGCAGGTACACACGTGGGTGCACTACCCGATCCTCGCCGTTATCCTCCTGGAGAGGTACTATGAATCCCACTCACAGGTGGGGAAACTGAGGCTCAGGGACCCAGGACGCGTGGCTGAAATCTGGAAGGCAGTCTGCGCTGTTGTGCACGGGCTTCTGGGGGGCGTGGCTTCCTTGCCTGGCTTTGCCCGCTTGGGTCCAGCCTCATCTGGCCTAGTCTCGGCCCTGGGGAGAGTGGTGGGGGGCCTTCTCGCAGGCAAGGGAGTCAGAGCAGGGGTTCTCGTCAGACTCCGGGGATGGGGGCTGCCCCAAGCAAAGGCCGGGTTGGACCTCTCCTGGGTAGCAGGTCACTGAGACCGGGGTTACAGGGGGTGGGTCTGGGATGATGGGGTTCCTGTGGACCTGACCTGGGCACATCCCAGGCTCTGGATGTGACTCACCTCGTCCCTTCTGCTCCTGGCTCTCTTCCGTCTGTGTGGGCTCCTCCTTGTAGGACCTGGGGGGCCCTGGTGTGTGACCTGCATTCCAGCCTCTGCACTAGAACCCTGCCAGGAGGCTGGGCACCCGGAGGGCCTGGCCGCGGGAATCCACTACCCTTCGTTTCCCATCCTTGCTGGGTGGAGACACATCTGTGGGAGAAGCAGCTCCTTCCTGTTGATGGCTCAGGGCAGGCCACATTCCCCAGGACAGTGCAGGAAGGAGGACGTGGGGCACAGGGCCTCAGGCCTGCCTTGCCCCAGCCTTTGTTCCCATGTGAGCCGAGGCTGGAGCCCGTGGGCCTCCTGTTCCTGATCTGCAGGTGGCACTCGGCCAGGTGTGGGAAGGCACGGGCCGTGGACAGAGCCGGTGCCCCCTGGCACGTGTCCGTCTAGCCCTCTCTCCGGAGCACCCTGGGTGATGGTCCCAGTCTAGGCTCCCACCTCCGGAGGCTGCTGGTTGTGCTCAGGGCGAGGTGGCTGTTTGGCCGACTCTGGGTGCCCGTGGCTGCGACCCTGGTCGGTGGTTTGAACTGTCCAGAGCCCATCTGCTGGACAGATGTGGCACCTCATGGGTGGCTTGCTGTGTGCCCTTCGGAGGTTTGATGACATGGACAGGGAGGCCCATGGGGGCGGGGGCTTGAGCCTGTCCTGTGTGATGGAGGCTGCCATCTCCTGACCTGGCAAAGGAGGCAGCTGGCCCTTGGCCTTGGAGATCCCTTCCCTGCGGTCCACAGAGCATCTTCGATGATGAGGGCCTTGTGGGTCATGCATCCCTCTGCCTTGAAAGAAGGGGTCAGGCCCTATGTGTCCTCTGGGCAGACTGGGCCCAGACGGGGGGCTCTGGGAGCTCAGGGACTCCCAGGGAGCTGGTCGTGGGCATGAGGCATGGACAGAACTCAGCCGCAGAGCTTCCATGCTCTGTCTGCTCTTGGTTGAGATGGGTGGTCTGGGGTCTGGGCTGGATGAGCCCAGGGTGTGTGCAGAAGTCCCTCACTGGCCTGGGGCTTCAGGCACAGGGGCTTGGTGGCGGGCATGCAGCAGAGCGGTGCAGAGCATGGTTGGACGCGTGGGGGAGGCGGCTCAGGCACCGCAGAGTCTGGCTCTGGCCCAGGGGAGGAAAGTCTCGGCGGCGGGATGGTCACTTTGCCCCAGGAGCCTCTGGGGAAGGAGACGGCATGTCGCATAGGGGCCGTGCTATCAGGGTCGCGAGGGCGCTCCCTTCACTGTCCAGCGCCACCCAGGACTGGGCCCCAGCCCCTCTTTCCGGGGTCACGGCCCGCTTGACAGGGGTCGCAGGGGGCCGGTTGTCACGCCTTCGGCATTTGCAGGTACTACGAGAGCTTCACCAACTGCACCGAGGTGGAGACCAACGTGGTGGGCTGCTACTGGCCCAACCCGCTGGCGCAGGGCTTCATCAGCGGCGTGCACCGGCAGTTCTTCGCCAACTGCACCGTGGACAGCACGCACTGGGAGGACCCCCCCGACGAGGTCCTCATCCCGCTCATCGCCGTGCCGGTCCTGCTGACCGTGGCCATGGCCGGCCTGGTGGTGTGGCGCAGCAAGCGCCCTGACCAGCTGCTGTGAGGCCCGGCGGTCGCAGGGGCCGCACCTGGAGAGAGGGAAGGCCGGGCCGGGGGCTGGGGAGCCGCCCCGGACCCGGACCCGGACCCGGACCCGGTGGTCGTGGGCAGGCGCCACCCGGCCCCACAGCCCGCTGCACTCACGCTGCTCACTTAGGCGCTTCCTCTTTCTTGGGCCGGGGAAGAAAATGCGCCAAGACCAGAGCCCGAATCGCTGCTGCTGTGCCCTTCGCCCAGGCTGGCTGTCCGGGTGGTTCCTTCGCAGAGCCCTGCTTGGCCCCGCCGCCGGGCCTCCTGCCCTGACCCCACCTCCGGCCCGGCTCTGACTCCGCCTCCCAGCCCCCCTCCCCCCCCCCCCCGGCCCCCCCCCCCCCCCTCCCCCGACCCCCTTTCCTACCCTGACCCCACCTCCTGCCCTGACCCCA